GAAGACTATGAAACAAAACTACAATATAATTAAATATAGTAACAATTTCAGTATAAAACAGGTATTATATACACACGGAGTTATTAAATAATTAAACAAATAAATAATCATTAATTTCTACATTATGATAATTTATATGCTTCTGTTTTCTGAAATATAGGATCATTGATAACAGGCACTTTGATGTGGTGTAATGGTTAAAAAGCTTGTCTCAATAGATCGATTGTGATTGAAAACCCATTTGACCACATCTCCGAATAAATATATTTGCCTTACTCGGAAAACACGCATGAAATGAATTAGATAAAAAATATATTAATGAGTCATCGGAATAAATTTTATTTGATTAATTTGTGGTTTTCCATTAGAAATTTTATAACATTTTGATGTTTCTGTGGTAATTTGTGTACACTTAAGGGGTGCTAAAAAGTTCTGGAATCGATCAAAATACACTTCATATCGAGAAACAGGTCGAGATGGGAATATTTCACTTCCCGTTTAGAATGGCATCGAGCGAATGAAGCATGTGAGACACTGAACCCCTTTCTTCCGGCGGTACAAAATACGAAACAAACAAATTTACAGTATTTACATTAGTCGGACTATTGTCCTCATCTTTGTCGCCATATTTGTCACATTTGTCTCAAGGACACATGGCACAGTGGATAAATGCGTTGGTTAGATCCAGTGACAGACCCAAAGAAGGTGAGTTCAATTCCTGGTTAAGGCATTGGAGAACTTTCAGAGGGAAAATTAGCAGGAGATAACTGACATCCATCAAACATAGCACGTGGAACTAGAACAGTCTACCCCAGTGATCGAAAAAAAGGGTTCAGTTCGAAATTCCAACCACCTGAAGAAGGCCGGAGCGTACAACGGCCGAAACGTTGTGACAAATATGGCGACAAAAATGAGGACAATAGTCCGACTAATGTAAATACTGTACATAATACCTCATCTCAGAAATATAGACAGACTCTGAAACAAATTTACCATCAGCAACATCTAAAATAGACAGTACATGTAACTCGAAAAGAAAATAATAACATAATCCAGATGTTGACATTCTACACTACTTCCAACAAAAGGTTAGGAAGGAAACCTCCATTAGTACTGGAAAGAGCGATAACAGCTTGTTGGTGTGAGAAACCTATTTTCCTGGAAAATTGTTTTAGGAGAAATATATATATATTTTTAATCGAGTTCAACTGAAACAAGACAGTAAAACCACTGAGATACAAGGGCTTAATAGGCGTGGAAGATTTAGAAAACAGAAGCACCACTAAGGAGCGATAACAGAAGAAGAGTAATCAGGAGGACTGTAGATAGCGACTGACATTGAATAAAATTTTTGAAGATTAAAATTGGCTAGAAAGCATGGAACCGGAAGGGCATTCTACAAGCGAGCAGTGCTAGCAAAGAAAATGTTAGATTAGAATTTACGTTTACATCTATCCAACGCAATGTTATATCAATGAGATCCCATCACCAGTTAACTCTGAGCATCTATTCTTAAATTCTAGGTACCATACCCTGCTGATTTGTAGATTTTGTCTTGTGGCATATCAACATCTCTATGGGTTATTATTATGGTAAATTACCCATACACGGATGGACTCTTCCAAGTTACAAATAAATGCACGTACTGCTTTTTGTCAGTAGAGAGTTTTTTTTCCCAACAGTCAGTTCGGACTTAATATTCGGGCTCGTTTATATGTTATTGTATTACCAATTTTCCGTTAATATATTTGTTAACTCAAAACCACTCTTGTGTTTTTATTCTGGCCCTGTTGTAAAGTAGTTTTCACAGTGGAGGCTTGTATTTCAATGAGTCGGTCCTAAAAAGGGTCCGACGTACAAAACGTTAGGAAACTTGCAATAATAGTTAATGACGCAGCAATCTAGTTGTGACGGTTGATACTTCAATGTCCGACATCGACTGACTCAATCAACTCCACTGAGCCCAAATGGCGACCGCTACTACTACTTATTATGTGTGGGAGAGTTTATTACAATAGAATAGGTAATGTTCTGGTATAACAGGCCCTAACAAGGCCACAACAACTTGGCGACAAGAACCCTTGAGGAACTCAAAAGTACTACGTAGAAATTTTCAATATTGGTTCTACTCAACAGGACTTGACAATCTAGAAAAGGAAACCAAACGGAAAAAAAAGTAATTAACTTACACGGAACTTTCTAAGAATTCATGTCTCTCAGAGGAAGACAAAAAAGATCTTAGTGAGTAAGAAATTAAACAGTTAGTTAATATCCATATCTAACTATTTTTAATGCATTTGCATGCTTTCAACTAAAAATAAAATGTATTGCTTGCCATTTTGATTTAAAATCGTAATTTTGGTAATTTTACTATAAAAATATATTTTTATACTTTCTTAGTGTTTTGTTTTGTTTGGGTGTTCACTATTTGCCATTAAGTTAGAACCCCTAACAGCTGCTATCACCTCAAGTCACGATTGATTTGGGAACAACAGTAATTAAGTGGTGGTTGTACGCTCAACCAAAATCTCCAATCTCCCGATCAGGGGCCTTGCTACCTGATGTAGTTTATCGTCAGACGCGGGACTAGCCACTGTAGGCAAAAGAAGAAAAGGCAGAGGGTGAAAATGATGCGACAACATCAGAGTTGACATATGGAGGCAACTGGTCAGATGCTGAGATACTTAGTGACCCTACATCATGGAACTGATTTTGTAAGGATTTTATTCCTTTGGAATAAATATATACAGGATGTCCCAAAAATGTTGATATAATTTTAAAAGCAATTATCTTGAAAACTCCTAAATCTATCTGAATGTAATTGAACAGTTTAGGTGTTGAACATCATAAGTTTATTCTGGGACTCATTTCATAAGTGTTCAATATATGCACCGCCTGTGACACGGCACATGTCAAGTTAGTAGTTAAGCTCATGTCAAACACGCTGTAGCATGTCTCCGGTAACATTATCCAGTGCGGAAGTGATTCTCTGCTTGAGTTAATCAATGCTAGCAGGAAAAGGGGAGGGACATAGACTGGTCCCCTCACATCTCTCCATAAAAAGAAATCGCACGGAGACAGGTCCGGTGACCGTGGCAGCCAGAAACTGTCTTCATCTCCATCACGCTCGATCCATCTTTCTGGCAGATTTCCATTGAGATAACAAAAATAAAACATTACATATAACCCGTCCTGGGTAAGATGTTAAACTACATCTGCGTCCTGGGTAAGACGTTAAACTACATCCAGCAGCAAGGCCTCTGATCAGGAGGTTTTGAGGAGCGTGGAACCACCTCTTAATTGCTGGTGTTCCCAGGTCCACCCTCACCTTGGTTGGTAGCACCTGTTAGGGTCCCAGCTATGTGCAAATAGTTAACTATTACCAGCAATACCGTTTTGGAAAATTTTTTACAGGCAATGCAGTTTTGAAGGAAAAGTATTACCAGAAACAGATTTTTGACAAAACAAAATATTACCAGCAATAAAGAATTTTGTCGGCATTGAGTAGCGGATTGGGGCTGGTGTGTCGCGGAACAAAATAAACCAAACCTATCTAAACCAAAGAATACATATTCTGTTCATACGAATCTATTGTAAAAATGTCGGCATTAAATAACCCATTGAGGTTGATATGCCGTTAAACAAAATAAACCAAACCAAAGAATACATATTCTATTCAGACGAATCTATCCTAAAAATGTTGTCAGCATTAAATAACCCATTGAGGATGATATGCCGTAAAAAAAAATAAACAAAATCAAAGAATACATATTCCGTTCATACGAATCTATTGTAAAAATGTCGGCATTAAATAACCCATTGAGGTTAATATGCCGTTAAACAAAATAAACCAAACCAATCTAAACCAAAGAATACATATTCTATTCATACGAATCTATCCTAAAAATGTTGTCAGCATTAAATAACCCACTGAGGTTGATATGCTGTAAAACAAAATAAACCAAACCAAACCAAACATTACATATAACATCTTGATCCGTTTTTATACATTGTAAAAATCTGAGGTTATTTCAATAAGAATTGCCAAAGTTAGTGGCCTGCGAAAGTATGTCAATTCTTTGGGTACACCCTGTATATTTTTGGCAAGTTTTATGTTAGTAAAAGTTTTGAGCACTTTATTGTTGATTAGACAAACTCCATTTAAGTGAGACCAAAGTTGGCGCTTCGTCGAATGGCAAATTCCGACTACATTTCTAAGCACATCAGTGCCAACGGAAATATCTGTACATTTTAAAGATTATTTTCAGCAAATATGAGTGTATATACTATAAACAAATTCATTCAGTTATGTGTCTGAAGTTTTGGAAACCATCAGCGCCTAATCTATATCTATACTTCTTGAAATGTGTGTATGTGTGTCTGTGAGTGTGTGTCGGAACGGATATTGTTTATGCATTTCCACAGTTTTCATCTGATTTTGATGAAAGTTTTATTTTGTTTGATAGATAATTCTTCGGTGCCGGTTTTAAGTTCAAATTGGCTGGGAAATATCACAAACTCGAAGTTGAAAATCGAAAAAAAAACTGATTTTTTACATTTTGCGCAAAAATCAAAGGCATAATTTAATGTCTTTAAAAAACCGCGTACAATCAATTTAGAGAGTTAAAATCTAACACAGAAGATTATTAGAATTATAAAAAAAAAATAAATATATTATAAATAAAAATTATCTTATATTATTATTATGAAGGTCCATGAAAAATGTTCCTTCCTTGCAAGATAAAGAACACAAAAACGACCCTTTTTTGGGCCACCCCAATTCAAATTGTTAACTCCCCATTTGGGGATGTGCCTCAGTTTGCATCAAATTGTTGTTACTAATATTGATTTTCCGGTGGGCTGACTTTAAACTTAAACTGCTCCAAGTGAACGGCAAAAATTCCCAGTAATGAAACACCCGGTCGAAGACGGGTTATTCTGCTAGTAACAGCTTAAAGGCGAAGCTCTTTGCAAAACATTTGAACTCAAGATCGGATATATTACATCACAGAGTCAATTATCAATAATAATTCTAAATGTGTTGTAGCAAATGACAAAAGACGCTGAATGCCGTATATGTAGATGACCAATGAAAATATGAGGGTCAAATGTAAGAGACTTACGCCATATCGAATGTTGGGATCCAAATATTCTCTGTGGTTCATGAAATACTTGAATCTACGTCTGGCTTCGCTCACAATCTCCTGGTCTCCGATTCTGCCCATGATAGCTATGAGTTCTCCTCGCAACATTGTAATTATTGGTTCTGAAAAATGAAGAATAATAGTACTAAGTTATGGTTGACTGGTAAAAATATTCTAACTCAGATTCAAGATAAGGTTCGGTTTACAATTACTGATCGCTTTAAAAAAAAAGGAAGTAAAGAATCTTTGTGAATATAGAAATTCACACATAGACCCCAGATATATACAAAGGCAGAAGGAATTGTTAAAACTTTTAACTTCCATCCATGGCATCGTTAAGAGTCTATATTTTCTATCACTGATTGGAATATCTTCCAGCAAAAATAAATAAATAAATAAATAAAAATAGCGATGATCATCGAAAATTTAGTGAACCCATTAAAACTTTAACATTCCAGAGTCAAATGTTTAATGGCCTTCGGATTTTAACATCTTGATCAAATATTTAACTATTTGTAAATATGAGTAACGTCGATCTTGGTCAGTACCCAGATGGATAACCGCTTGGGAATATTAGCTACTGCAAGCTTGGGTGTGCAGGTGGTGTAATGGATAAATGCTTGGAATTGTTAATCGTAGAGCTGAGTTCTAGTTCTCGTTGGGATTGTTATATTCAATTACATTATATTCCCTTAACAGCAAATAACCTGGGGAAAAGTATCCTTTTCTTCCCCAGATATCCGTTAATTAATAAGACTTACATCAGTAAATTGTTATTATCTAAAAAAAAAACAAAAAAAACTTCTTAGTATCTCAAAATATATTCTGGCTTTAAATAACCTGCAAAGGGTTGACAAGCCGTAGAAAATCAATGAATTAATATATTTACCGGCCTGAATTGCCGAGAAATGTTTAATACTGTTTATTATAAACGAAACATTTACTTAAATATTTGTATCTATAAAAAGAATGTATAAACATAAAAATGTCTTCAAATAATTGTCGGACTTTGTCCATTTCATTATATATATATATTATGTTTATTTTAATACCTATAAATTAATAACCGGACGGGTAAATACAGGTAGGTATACGAGCGAGTGATCGTATACAAATACATATAAAAACCCTATAGAGTAAGAAAAAACTGTGCTCAATGTTAAGTAACAGAGCTATATAATTATTAGCTGTGTAATTAATGTAATATATTATGTATATATATACATTATATATATATATATCATAATCCATACTTTTAACTTGAATATGACACTATACAAAAATGAAAGTTTATTCAATTTCCCCAGGAAAGATGGTCTGTAGCCATTTCAGTCCTGTAAATTATCTGCTTCTTTCCTTGACTGTTTTTGCATTAATTACGAGCTAATTATCTACCTCGGCTAATTTTAGGAATAAATATCTCTTCTATTCAATTATCTGAGTGATATTTGTTTACTTATTCGTGCAGTTATTTATAAACTGGGTATGGATTCTTTTGCTATTGCCAACGATACCCTTGTATTAAGTGGTGCGATATCGAAGACATAAATTTGTTTATCACTAAAGTCCTCCATCGATTTGTTTTCCTTCCAGCAATTTTCATGACAGTATCGTTACTTTCAAAACTCGACATTGCTCTCTCAAATTTAATATCATCTTTAAAGACTGGAATGAGCTTTATGACGAACTTTGTGCCGTTGGTTCCAAACATTTCGTTCTGATGATCTAAATCCCCAAGGGAGGCCTGGTCTTGAGCGCAAACTCGTGATTTGAAAGTGGGCAACTGAGGACAGCTAGATACGAATACATGGGTGGTGACAGTAAAGCTGAAAATACTGTATTCAACAGTCGAAATGAATCTGACATATAAATGAATAAAATTCTAGAGATAATAATATGATAACAAGATAAGATACAGAATGGTCATGGGTTGCAATTTCCTGGTTCATTTTAAATAGTGACTTTTAGTAATTGTGTGCTGTTGATGAAAAGTTGTTTCTGTATACTAATCAAGAACGCGGCTTTAATTAGATGATAAACATGGACGCACTTCTTCTTGAAACTGATTCCCGTACGAAGTTAAGTAACGTCGAGCTTCGTCAGATGGGTGACTGCATGGGAATACCAGGTGCGGTAAGCTTGGATGTGCGCGTAGAAAAAGTTCAGGTCCACATCATGTTGAAACTGATTCCCGTACGAAGTTAAGCAACGTCGACCTTCGTCAGTTCCTAGATGGTTGACTGCTTGGGAATACCAGGTGCTGTAAGCTTGGATGCGCGTAGAAAAGGTTCAGGTCCACATCATGTTGAAACTGATTCCCGTACGAAGTTAAGCAACGTCAAGCTTCGTCAGTTCCTAGATGGGTGACCGCTTGGGAATACCAGCTGCGGTAAGCTTGGATGTGCGCGTAGAAAAGGTTCAGGTCCACATCATGTTGAAACTGATTCCCGTACGAAGTTAAGCAACGTCGAGCTTCGTCAGTTCCTATATGGGTGACTGCTTGGGAATAACAGGTGCTGTAAGCTGGGATGTGCGCGTAGAAAAGGTTCAGGTCCACATCATGTTGAAACTGATTCCCGTACGAAGTTAAGCAACATTGAGCTTCGTCAGTTCCTAGATGGGTGACCGCTTGGGCATACCAGGTGCGGTAAGCTTGGATGTGCGCGTAGAAAAGGTTCAGGTCCACATCATGTTGAAACTGATTCCCGTACGAAGTTAAGCAACGTCGACCTTCGTCAGTTCCTAGATGGGTGACTGCTTGGGAATACCAGGTGCGGTAAGCTTGGATGTGCGCGTAGAAAAGGTTCAGGTCCACATCATGTTGAAACTGATTCCCGTACGAAGTTAAGCAACGTCGAGCTTCGTCAGTTCCTAGATGGGTGACCGCTTGGGAATACCAGGTGCTGTAAGCTTGGATGTGCGCGTAGAAAAGGTTCAGGTCCACATCATGTTGAAAATGATTCCCGTACAAAGTTAAGCAACGTCGAGCTTCGTCAGTTCCTAGATGGGTAACTGCTTGGGAATACCAGGTGCCGTAAGTATGGATGTGAATATAGAAAAGGTTTAGGTCTACATCATGCTGAAACTGATTCCCGTACGAAGTTAAGCAACGTCGAGCTTCGTCAGTTCTTAGATGGGTGACTGCTTGGGAATACCAGGTGCTGTAAGCTTGGATGTGCGCGTAGAAAAGGTTCAGGTCCACATCATGTTGAAACTGATTCCCGTACGAAGTTAAGCAACGTCGAGCTTCGTCAGTTCCTAGATGGGTGACTGCTTGGGAATACCAGGTGCCGTAAGTATGGATGTGAATATAGAAAAGGTTTAGGTCTACATCATGTTGAAACTGATTCCCGTACGAAGTTAAGCAACGTCGAGCTTCGTCAGTTCCTAGATTGGTAACTGCTTGGGAATACCAGGTGCTGTAAGCTTGGATGTGCGCGTAGAAAAGGTTCAGGTCCACATCATGTTGAAACTGATTCCCGTACGAAGTTAAGTAACGTCGAGCTTCGTCAGTTCCTAGACGGGTGACTGCTTGGGAATACCAGGTGCTGTAAGCTTGGATGTGCGCGTAGAAAAGTTCAGGTCCACATCATGTTGAAACTGATTCCCGTACGAAGTTAAGCAACGTCGAGCTTCGTCAGTTCCTAGATGGGTAACTGTTTGGGAATACCAGGTGCCGTAAGTATGGATGTGAACATAGAAAAGGTTCAGGTCCACATCATGTTGAAACTGATTCCCGTACGAAGTTAAGTAACGTCGAGCTTCGTCAGTTCCTAGATGGGTGACTGCTTGGGAATACCAGGTGCGGTAAGCTTGGATGTGCGCGTAGAAAAGGTTCAGGGCCATATCATGTTCAAAACTGATTCCCGTACTAAGTTAAGCAACGTCGGGCTTCGTCAGTTCCTAGATGGGTAACTGCTTGGGAATACCAGGTGCCGTAAGTATGGATGTGAACATAGAAAAGGTTCAGGTCCACATCATGTTGAAACTGATTCTCGTACGAAGTTAAGTAACATCGAGCTTCGTCAGTTCCTAGATGGGTGACTGCTTGGGAATACCAGGTGCGGTAAGCTTGGATGTGCGCGTAGAAAAGGTTCAGGGCCACATCATGTTGATACTGATTCCCGTACGAAGTTAAGTAACGTCGAGCTTCGTCAGTTCCTTGATGGGTGACCGCTTGGGAATACCAGGTGCCGTAATTATGGATGTGAACATAGAAAAGGTTTAGGTCTACATCATGTTGAAACTGATTCCCGTACGAAGTTAAGCAACGTCGAGATTCGTCAGTTCCTAGATGGGTGACTGCTTGGGAATACCAGGTGCTGTAAGCTTGGATGTGCGGGTAGAAAAGGTTCAGGTCCACATCATGTTGAAACTGATTCCCGTACGAAGTTAAGCAACGTCGAGCTTCGTCAGTTCCTAGATTGGTAACTGCTTGGGAATACCAGGTGCCGTAAGTATGGATGTGAACATAGAAAAGGTTCAGGTCCACATCATGTTGAAACTGATTCTCGTACGAAGTTAAGTAACATCGAGCTTCGTCAGTTCCTAGATGGGTGACTGCTTGGGAATACCAGGTGCGGTAAGCTTGGATGTGCGCGTAGAAAAGGTTCAGGGCCACATCATGTTGATACTGATTCCCGTACGAAGTTAAGTAACGTCGAGCTTCGTCAGTTCCTTGATGGGTGACCGCTTGGGAATACCAGGTGCCGTAATTATGGATGTGAACATAGAAAAGGTTTAGGTCTACATCATGTTGAAACTGATTCCCGTACGAAGTTAAGCAACGTCGAGATTCGTCAGTTCCTAGATGGGTGACTGCTTGGGAATACCAGGTGCGGTAAGCTTGGATGTGCGCGTAGAAAAGGTTCAGGTCCACATCATGTTGAAACTGATTCCCGTACGAAGTTAAGCAACGTCGAGCTTCGTCAGTTCTTAGATGGGTGACTGCTTGGGAATACCAGGTGCTGTAATTATGGATGTGCGCGTAGAAAAGGTTTAGGTCCACATCATGTTGAAACTGATTCCCGTACGAAGTTAAGCAACGTCGAGCTTCGTCAGTTCCTAGATTGGTAACTGCTTGGGAATACCAGGTGCCGTAAGTATGGATGTGAACATAGAAAAGGTTTAGGTCTACATCATGTTGAAACTGATTCCCGTACGAAGTTAAGCAACGTTGAGCTTCGTCAGTTCCTAGATGGGTGACCGCTTGGGCATACCAGGTGCGGTAAGCTTGGATGTGCGCGTAGAAAAGGTTCAGGTCCACATCATGTTGAAACTGATTCCCGTACGAAGTTAAGCAACGTCGAGATTCGTCAGTTCCTAGATGGGTGACTGCTTGGGAATACCAGGTGCGGTAAGCTTGGATGTGCGCATAGAAAAGGTTCAGGGCCACATCATGTTGAAACTGATTCCTGTACGAAGTTAAGCAACGTCGAGCTTCGTCAGTTCCTTTATGGGTGACCGCTTGGGAATACCAGGTGCCGTAAGTATTGATGTGAACATAGAAATGTTTAGGTCTACAGCATGTTGTAACACCGATTCCCGTACGAAGCTAAGCAACGTCGAGCCTGGTCAATACCTAGATAGGTGACTGCTTGGGAATATCGGATGTGGTAAGCTTGATCAATGTCTAGATAGGTGACAGCTTGAGAATAATAGTTTAAACACCGATTCTCGTACGATTACTGAATTTAAGCAACCTCGAACCTGGTCAGTATCTAGATGGGTGACTACTCGGGTATACCAGGTAGGATGTGCGAATGGTTTTAATGGATAATGGCTCCAAATTATTAATCGGATAGCTGAGTTCTAATTCCAGTTTGGTTCATTATATTCACTTACACGCAATTACTCTTGGAAAATGGATCCACGTCTTCTCTCACAACTATGGGTTAATTAGTAAGAGTTCTTTAAAGCCATGATTATTTGTATAGAATATTGTTACAATCTCAAAAAAATATTTCTGGCTTTAAATAAACTGCAAATGATTGATAAGCAGTACGAAACGAATAAAACAATCAATCAATTTTTCTTCTTAATATACGTGCTTTGTCTCTTCAGATAGTTGACGATCATGGCTCTCCACACCTGCCTGTCCCTAATAGCCTTTCGTAAGTTATCTTTTTCATTTCTTCTAATCATTTACACTAGGTCGTTTGGTAGGTTATACGCTGCTTTCCTCTGTTTGCCTTCAATATGTCTTGTGAGTTTCAAATTTTCTAAGCCGTCTTTTCTCATTATGTACCCTAGAAATTTCAACTGTCCCTTTCTGGTACTACCTATGAGTGTCTTTTTTGCTTCAATTTTCTCTAAAGCTTCATCGTTGATCACGTGTTCAATCCATGGCATTCTCAGCATCCTTCTGTTACCTTAAGTCTCTCCTCAGTCTGTGATGAGATTATCCAGTATTTATTACCATATAGGAGGAGGGATATTATTATATTCAGCACACATCTCTGGTTTCGGGTGAAATATTCCTGTTTTTTTAATGATGTGTTTAACTTTTGGAAGACTGCTTCACTATCCAAATGCGCCTTTTGTTTCTTCCGAAGACCAAATTTTGCAATTCCTCCTGACTGCTTAGTAATATTATTATGAACCTGTCCATGTATTTTCAATATTGGGATATAGATTTGAGGCATTAAAAGCTGCAAATAACTGGGCCAGTATTGATGGAAAGAAATGACCTCATCCTGTTGATGTAGCGATATCAGTGTCAGCCGTTGCCTTGTTAAATGGAAATATCTGTGCTCTCATAAAAAATTGTTTCAGATATTTATTGTTCTCAAAATTATCATCTAAGTGAAGTGGACCACATAAGGAACATAACAAACGACCCTGACAAAGTAGATCACTAAATGAATCCATACCTTGATAAATCACTTTTTAGACAAGGATGACAAGACAAAAAATGTGGTCACTATCAACACAAAACAGAGTGACAATCAAAAGCACAGACAGTGACGAGTGACCATCTCGTAATGGCGCGAAAGAGAAAACGCCCCTACGACTGTTCACGTCACCTCACTTGTTTACAGGAGTAGGTTACAGTCAGACTAAAATGTGCCTACTACTACAATAGTCTTCTGCTTTTATTCAGTGGGTGGCCAAAGAGCAATTTTTAAGCCACATGCGTTAGACTGGAAGAAGCTGCATCCCAAGGACAAACCTGAAGCAGGATATCTGAAAGATCATATTTAAAAAATAACCAGACAAAAACTGATTCGGTTCCAAATAAAATCACCGCACTATTCTTACCAATTCCCAGAACCTGTTTGCTAACAATTTGCTGCTTTCCTCTAGGCCTTAGATACATATAAAAGCCAGCAAGCGTATGCCCATCCTTATTTGGTCGTAAATGTTTCCATGAGTCGCAGATTTAGGAAGTATTTACTACAGTATATTTGGTAAAATATTGTCGATTCTAATGCTACTCCGTTATCATGCTGCAAATTTAAGACGAGCATTAATATGTTCCCGGATCGATCGCAAATAATCCACTTTCTCAATATGTTTCAAATTCGATTTACATTTTATACTCAGTATTATAACTATTTATTATGTGTCTGTCTATCGCCCGGTTCACACGCCTCCCTCATCTTTTGTACAGGAGTAGAGGTTTATCCCTTGTTTCAAGTTTAGGATTGGGTTTCCGATTCCTTCTAAAGTCAATTTCATCTGTATACTTCTAACGTCTCTCCCTGAAATTTTTTTTACTAATTATTAATTGAATTATTTTCCCATTCTCCACATTAGTAGACAGGTTCCCTATCGTCCGATTTGCACTTCCCCTCATCTCTTTTGAACAGAAATAGAGGTTTAGTCCTTATTTCCTGATTAGAATTTTGATTTCCGGTATTTTCGCAAATCTTTTTCATTCTCTTTCACTCCCAGTAGCCCTTTGCATCTCAGTGGTATAATCGCCTTGCTTGGGGAGAATTGATTAAAAATTTATTAAGAATCTTCGAATAATGATTAACATTCAAAGCAACAGAAATCTATTTTTTTTCTTACATATTTTAGAGTTAATCAAAATAATATTAATAGATAAGTGACTTAACATACTTCTGGACTGATATTCTAAATGCCGACATAACGAAATAAAAATTTCACAATAATCATCGTAATCACATTGTTACCATAACGTAAATAGCGGCGTACAAGTCGAGATTTCAAGCCTAAACAAATATTTTCAAAATTAAGGGTCGACTTATATGGCGGGTATAAAATGCAAACCATTACCAGCGAGTTGTAGACAAGTAGGACAACACTCTTAACAATTATTGTACACCACTTACCGTACCTCAAGCAGGGTACTGTAAATATATCCTTGGGTTTCGTAAACGTATTTGCCATATCAACACAGAAATTAATATAAAATAATTGAATTAGTAAAACAATTCTATTGACGCAACAGCACATATCGTATTTAATAGTTGAGTAAATGCTTACTCATGCATGAAGACCTTTATAATTTTGGCGGTTTTTAACGTTAACTACCTTGTAAGTCCAAGTAATAGGGGCTCATTAAAAGGATAATAGTCTGACCTGAGTGTCGATAGGGTAATAGAGCCACAGTTTTGCTGTTCGTCGCAGAAGGCTGGTGGCATCATGGGATGCCTGTTTACATCACTGATGTAAATGGCTGGTGGCATCATTGAATGCTTGTTTACATCATTGATGTAAATGGCTGGTGGCATCATGGGATGCCTGTTTACATCACTGATGTAAATGGCTGGTGGAATCATGGGATATCTGTTTACATCACTGATGTAAATGGCTGGTGGCATCATGGGATATCTGTTTACGTCACTGATGTAAATGGCGGATGAGTGATACTGGGTTCTAAAATAACATATGATACGTCGCAGTACGATCAAAAATCTACTTCTATTAGAGATGATGTTGACCTAAAGAATATTAAATGTTCGCTAAGTTACAATATATAATAGATAATAACTACCGGTGTTTGTTAAAGGGTGTTTGCTATACAACGCCTATAAAAAGATATTACGTGTAGTGTCTCAGTACACAGGTAAGTTGCGTGACCATATGTAGATTTGGCTCTGACTATCGTCTGCTATAGCCTAACTTCCTTTACCGGTAGGCATAAGCTTTGGGCTACTGGTAGTCTACCGTCTGTTTGGGGGTCGATCTATACAGCAGGTATTGGACAAATTGATAATTTTTTAGCTAAAGACTTTATGCTAAAGATTTTGAGGTAGACTTGTACGCCAGTTCGACCTGTACGCCGCAATTTACGGTAGTCGTTTTCCTTACGTTCGTCCTGTTTCTTCTCCCAACCAACAACCATCCAGATATTATGGAAGAAGGGAATAGCAAATTTGGCCCATATTTCATCCCTTTGTTTGTTCTGTAGAAGTTGATGTAGACTATCGAAGTTTTTGACCATGTCGTACCAGATGCAAAAATCAGTCTCATGAGAATAGTCCAAAAGGCACTTGATGAGCAGCTGAAGACTCATTCTGCAGTCGCGAGTCTGAAAGAAGAATTCATATTTCATAATAGAACGTAAAAGAAAGTTGCACAAGTCAGATATTTAACATAATGGATGTTAACATCTTAACTGCTATAGGACTTCTTAAAAACGGCTATTTCCACGGAGTCAAACCGCTCTCATTACAACCCCCCCCCCATCACGACCATCACCACCACTTATTCAAAATATATGGAAAAAACTGCACGGGAATCTTTTTTCTAAAAGATATACACATGGACTCTTCGATAGATACTATTCTTCGTCAATCATTATCTATTCTCCTTATCCTCCTAAAAATACCTTCCTGCCACATGTTCTTTCATTCATCATAACTGAGAAGATCTTGCCTCTTGC